TGACGAAATAAATAAATAAATGCTCCCGCCTTGTTTAAATGTGTATTGAAGTACATTTATTCAAATTATTATTATTAATTTATTTATTTATAGCTAGTATTACACCTGCTATGTAAGCGAAGATTTTTTCAATTGTTTACCATTAGATGCCAAGCAAATACCCTTCTTTCCTTCACCCATTTAGAGAGTCGGCTAACACTTTCTACAGCAAAATAGGGTTGCTTATAAGTAATAATAATGATGAATAATACTAACTTTTAAACTTTCGCGTTCCATGATAATTAATATTATTTAAGTCAGCCTGTGACCACGGCCGGTGCAACCTGGTCGAAACGTCAGGCAAACCAGAGGTATGTAATACCCTAAATAAGAGATCGCGTTAATTCCCGTTAAATAATATTAATGATGAATAATATTTTCGAATATATGACACACAACGCCATCTAGTTTCAAACAAAACATTGACAATATTTTAGTACTTAACCACGAAACATTCAAAAGCCAATATCTTTTTTCCTAGACTTCTTTCGCTAGTAATTTTTTTATGACAATGTTCAAGAATAAATTCTCAAGGGTTTTAGGCATTTTTGATATTTAAACGCTGTCATTTCACTTCAAATAAAATTATGTATGGGGACCTGCCATTGTTCTTTATGATACGAGGTGTTTTTTTTTTTTAGTTTTTAACGCTGAAATAAAATTTCTCCCCTTACTCAACCAAACCTTAAGTTGAGAAATTCAACATCATACATTTTGTTGAAGGAAGGCCGAAACGTGGTGGTTTTGTAAAGAGATTACAAGCGGGGAATCCTTGTCTTCGACAGTAAAATATGTTTCTTTATAAAATAACAGTAAAATATGTTATTTTATAGCGGTTCCTATTATGTTAGTATTCAAGAAGAGTTCGACTTTGTCTCGGGATTTTCTGCTGTGATTGTGATGAATAATATAGATTTAAGAGGTCATCGCTCTTGTAAATAAAAAAAAACACGTTAATGTTATATGTATTATAAGTTTTACGATAATCTTAAGCAAAAGCATTTAAATAATAAATTATATAGATAAATAAGTAATAAAAAGACTAACATTCTAATTTGCATCAATTTATACGTAAATAGATCAAGAACTAGAGATACTAGGAGTATAAAAATACCTTTAAAATGTACGCATTAATGTACGTACACACGAAGGGAGAACTCCAGAAGCGTGGAGTAGGAGTGTGGTCGTCTTGTTCTTCAAAAAGGGTGACAAGACCAGGTTGAAGAACTATCGACCCATATCCCTTCTAAGCCACGTCTACAAGCTGTTTTCGAGAGTCATCACGAACCGTCTTGCGCGAAGACTCGACGAATTCCAACCACCGGAGCAAGCTGGGTTTCGGAGCGGATATGGCACCATAGACCACATCCACACAGTGCGGCAGATTATACAGAAGACCGAAGAATATAATCAGCCCCTGTGTCTAGCATTCGTGGACTATGAGAAAGCCTTTGACTCGATCGAGATCTGGTCTGTTCTGGAGTCCCTGCAGCGTTGCCAAGTAGATTGGCGATACATCAAAGTGATGAGATGTCTCTACGAAGCCGCCACCATGTCCGTCCAAGTACAGAATCAGCAAACAAGGCCCGTACCATTGCATCGAGGAGTGAGACAAGGGGACGTTATTTCCCCGAAATTGTTCACAAATGCAATGGAGGACATGTTCAAGACGCTGCACTGGAAAGGGCGTGGCATCAATATCAATGGCGAATACATCTCTCACTTGCGATTTGCAGATGACATCGTCATCATGGCAGAGACGTTGCAGGACCTACAGCAAATGCTGAATGACTTAGCTGACACTTCTGTACGCATCGGCCTACGGATGAACTTGGATAAAACCAAGGTCATGTTCAACGAACATGTACTACCGGAACCGATTGCGGTACACGGTGCCGTTCTCGAAGTTGTTCAAAATTATGTGTACCTCGGGCAGACATTGCAGTTAGGTAGAAACAACTTCGAGGACGAGGTGAACAGAAGAATTCGGTTGGGTTGGGCAGCGTTTGGGAAGCTACGTCGAGTCTTCTCATCGTCGATCCCACAGTGCCTTAAGACGAAAGTCTTTAATGAGTGCGTCCTACCCGTCATGACATACGGAGCTGAAACGTGGACACTTACGGTACGGCTGGTCCACAAGTTCAAAGTCGCTCAACGTGCTATGGAAAGGGCTATGCTCGGCGTTTCTCTAAGGGATCGCATCAGAAATGAGGTGATCCGGCAGAGAACTAAGGTCACCGACATAGCGTACCGGATCAGCAAGTTGAAGTGGCAGTGGGCTGGCCATATTAGCCGCAGAACCGATAACCGTTGGGGAAAACGAGTTCTTGAGTGGAGACCGCGTCTCGGCAAACGTAGTGTAGGACGCCCACAGGCCAGGTGGAGTGACGATTTGCGCAAGATGGCTGGCAGGAGCTGGATGCGAGAAGCCCAAAATCGATCTAAGTGGCGTGCAATGGGAGAGGCCTATGTCCAGCAGTGGACTGCGATAGGCTGATGATGATGATGATGATGATGTACGCATTAGTAATAAACTAATCTAGTAACGATGCTTGTCAATTGCAAGCACAATTCAAGAATTATTATTTATTTATTAGTTTACAACTTTGGGCCCTTTTGCACATCGGCGAACTTAATGACTTGGGCATTCTTTACCAGCCAACCTTTTGAATGAATGAGAAAGAAATAAGTACGTAGAACGAGTATAGTACAGCGAATAAAGTTGTTGGATATTATAGCATAAAATAAGGTTCTAAGGTCCTGTCTTACTTTACTTCTATTAATAAATTACTAGATTCTGTTGCTTTTTCAGAAATTTCATAAAACGTTCTGGATTCAGAATGTGTATCCCGCTAAATCTTTTCCGGTTCATGGAATCAAGTCAAAAGATCTTTTGAGTTGAGGCATCCTACTTCTGCCTAATGTAAGACGTAATGAACTTGCACGGCCCTACCGCGTGCCTGTTTTACTGCGACTTAGAAAACCTTTGTTCATACAAAAATAATTGTTTTGCTCAGAATCTAAACAAATACGGTAGGATTGCTTAACCAAATACCTACTATTCTTGTTTTAAAATCATGTCACGTTTTCCCCCTGTAGTTCTAATTCTCGTTTGTTATGCGTTTGTATTTGGCACCGCTGAGCACGTAGCCGGTCCTGTGATTAACGCATACTTTAATCTACAATTGGTATGTGTATTACGCCTTAAGGTACGAGACAACTTTCTTCACAGATTTATTATTTCCTATTTGATTAAGATTTATGGAGCTTCTATATTTAGTTACAGTAACCTAAATTGACAATGGAGTTGTTGAAATAATGAATCGCAATCGGGTTGATTACTGTTCAGAATGAATACAGATAGCTGTCATTCAACGGTTCATTAAGTCGGTAGCATACACGTCCGATGTGATACCGCTGATATTTGATCATTGCGAGCCATTAAAAAAAGGCCGGCAACGCGCTTGTGACTCCTGAGTTGCAGGAGTTCATGGGCGGTGGTAGTCGCTTTCTATCAGGTGACCCGTCTGCTCGTTTTCCAACTCTTCCATAAAAAACAAAAAAAAACTTCGCTATAAGTTATTATTGATAAAAATTACGCATTAGACACGCATGAGACCGAGGCATTATCAGTCTTTAGGTGAATTTGAATTTTATACACTTGTAAAGTGATGTATGCTTCTATTCTTGCAATTGAAGGTCAATAACTTCAATGGCCATAAAATTTACCTGACTTAGACGAGGTTTTTGTACTAAAATTAAGAAGGAAAAGTTTGACTCAGCAACCTGAGTTTTATTTACTTAGACTGCCGAAATGTCATTGTTACTGTTATATTCATACATGTAAATAGAGTAGAAAATAAAAATATCAAATAAATTTATCATAATAAAACGATATCTACAAAATAATTACTTGGTGGATAAAGCGAGCGATGGCCGCGACGTGTTTGATCAACGACGAAAAAAAGATAAATCTTCGAGATCGAGATCGAGAATTGAGAGTTAAATTGAAAGCAAATCTTTTCATATATATATCAATGGTATATAAGGACAAACGAGTAAAACACGAATCACTTAGCATCGGTTTCTTTTTGTGGCCGTGATATCACTTGTCGAGCCTGCCCATTTGTGCTGAAGCCTAGCTCTCCCACGTACAAAATTGCTGTTTGAAGATATGTAATTTTAACCTTTTTAAAAAAAAATATTTTTTATCTATTTTACGTCTCTTTTGTATATTTACTATTGATGAACTTACGGAAACAGCAGTCCTGAAACACTTTTGTCCCTCTCAATTTTTTTAACACATAAATACAAAAATTATTACGTAGACGTAATAATTTATTTTTTAGTATTTTTATTAGATATATTTATTATAGAACGCCTACAGAGATAGATCTCTGTAGGCGTTCTTGTAGTATCAATTCATATACTGCAGAAAGCCATTTTTAAACCTGTTTGTAGTCGATTTGGCAAAAACAAGTCACGTATGTACAATGAATGCGTTCTAAGTAGTCTCAGTCACACGAGTGTGGACATTTATCGTGTCATCTAACTTCCAGGAAAATAATCGACTAAAAATCTAACCTGAATACATAATTCTAAACACAAAACATGTATATTTTAAGATTGTCCTGATCATATTAACGATTTCCTGATCGATTTATTCCTTAATTCATAAGTTATTTTAATGAATGAAACTTAATCAATATCCAAATGTTAATTCCAGGAGAATTTCACTAGGAATTTTGTGCCCGTTATGCAGCAATAATAGGCTTGTCCTGTATTACGTAAGTGGGACTAACAATTATAGTCAGAGGTCGTTTGGTATACGTATATGCCTTTTAATCCCTGACGGGGATTTTCTCCCCGAAGAGGATAAAAGGCGTGAGTGAATATATGTAGGTAAACATGTAAAGAGAATTTGTTTCATGTGACTCACAGTTCTATTTTCTTTGTTTCAGTATTGGATCAAGGAGACGCGCGGACGGTGAAAGTAAACACAGTAGAACAGTCGCACAGTAGGCAACAAACTACCGTCGAATTTATAGCAGAAGATGAAGAGGTAATTCTAACATATTATTCTCCTACAAACATACAAATACACGCCTTCAAAACTCTTCAAATATATGTTATGAACCAAGTGAGTAAAGTCGTAAAGCACGGGCAATGTTAAAAATGGCTAGTATATTTGAGCCATGTATTTAACAGTTATACATGAAAACTTCTTCCGACCATTATGAATATTATTAAATAACTGTTGAGTCTGTACATAATTGAGATAATTAGGATACATTAGGCAAAGTAGTAGTACCAAGAACTACATGGAAGGACCGTGAAGAATACAGACGCTGATACAGAGCACAGTTGTTTCCTATTCAGTTTAGAATTAAATCAAAATCACTTTGGTAAAGTGTATAATATGTAAATGAATGAACATTTTGAAAGATTGTTAGAATAGAGGCCGAAGAAAAAGGTCTTGAATACAAATTATTGCAATTTGAAAGCCGTGCAACTTAAAAGGTCATTAAAATAAAAACGACATGTCGACACCTTTTTCGGACTAATATATGTAGATAGATAGATAACATAGATGACGGCATCGAACTCACCAAAACCACACGATACAATGTTTTGTCATAAGTGCACAAGTTTTCTTGTTTAAAGTTTGTCAGTATTTGCTCTATATCATATTAATTTTATTAAAGTAAAATAAAACCTCATTAAAACGATACGGAAAACGTTTTATACGATTCTATGTGTTATTATTAGCTTCTCGAAATAAAAACCGTAAATTATGTACAAAATAGCAGTTACGACTACCCAATTACACCTACACTCAGTTTCGTGTCAATAATTCGTGTCAAACATCTTTCTTTCATCAGTTCTCTATTGATTTATAAAATTAAATTGTAAAAAACCTTTTTGCTACAGTTTGTTGTCGAATAAAGCCGGATAATGCAATACCTAAGTCTTACACATAAATAGAGAAAGGAGAATAAGCGTGAATACAAAAGAAATTATAGGAAGGATATTAGTTAACGACACCATGTCGAAATCCATTCATTACGAGTTCCATGAACAATATCTATCGGAGTGATAGATCTGTCTTGTCATGCCAAACATCTCCCTGGCAACACTATATTTACGTATCAGTATTGATTTCTAAAACTATTCATATAATGTATACATATAAATGTGTTTCTTTATCCGAGCAAATCTTATTGGAAAGTCGGTTCTGGGAAGTTTCCTTTTCGTTCCAACTGAGGCTTAAGTTGAAAGCCTTGAATAGATTTTACGAATCCTAATCGTGAAACGATATCAACCATGTTTTATTACATTACACATTGTCACGTTACTACACTACGTTTGAATGTAAACGAATAACTAGAATAAATTAAATTTCAAATGGTCTTTTTAACTAACTAAGTATTTTTAACGAAATTAAAAGATAGGGGGAAGTGTCAGTTCGGTTGTTCTTTTGTTATGTTTGTTCTCAATTCAATTCTTCATTAAATTTTAATTCAATTCTTGTTATAAAAATTCGGTAAAAAAATCAGTTCCGATCAACTCTCGATCTCGCAACTGTCATAAAAGGTATGTTTGTAGTAAAATAGTAAAGTATTCCTAAGACAAGAAGACTACCGATTCACCTACATCCTACCGACCATGATCAAGATATGCTATAATATTTAGCACTGCCAATGTTTAAAAAAAAAAGGTTGCCTGACTCACATATTACTCAGCTTTATCAGCTTCTTCTTTCTTTGGCCTTTTCATCATAAAATAATAAAAAAAAAAAACAAAAAAATGGCGGTTTCGACATGAACTAACTGAAATCACTCATAAATATTTCCACATATACAATAAAAAACAACCCTACTTTTTGCGCAACCGGGTAAAAATTTAAATGATCGTGACCAGCCTGCGGTCACGACCGACACTGAAAACTGGACGAGAAATTAATCGATATGTCTAGCCTTGGGGCTTTGGGGTTTACAGTGCTTATAAGTTTTAATGTTATTTCATTTCATACGCGAGTCCACCGAGACCTTGTCTGTTCTCACTAAGTAACCTAATCATGGTAAGAAAGTAGTGGCTATTTGTAACAACCCTGAAAAAGTCGGTTATAAATATATTTTGATAAATACATGTTACATACATACACATCTTTTATACCCGAAAGGGACAGAGATACACAGAAACACAGATTTTAGTCATAATTATATAATAGCGGGCAAGACTATTGACGTCAAACGGGCACATATATGTCTAAATAGGCACACTTATATATTTCTGAATACATACATATTATAGATAAAATTAAAAGACACTGAAAACTGGACGAGAAATTAATCGATATGTCTAGCCTTGGGGTTTACAGTGCTTCTAAGTTATAATGTTATTTCATTTCATGCGCGAGTCCACTGAGACCTTGTCTGTTCTCACTAAGTAATCTAATCATAGTAAGAAAGTAGTGGCTATTTGTAACAACCCTGTAAAAGTCGGTTATAAATATATTATGATAAATTTAAGTTACATACATACACATCTTAAATCTCCGAAAGGGACAGAGATACACAGAAACACAGATTTTAGTCCCAATTATATAATAGCGGGCCAGACTAGTGCCGTCAAACGGTCATATATGTCTAAATAAACATACTTATATATTTCCAAATACATACATATTATAGATAAAATTACATCCAGACACAGAACAAATATCCTGCACGTCACACTTTATTTTGTCCTGGGTGGGAATCAAAATATCTTACGTTCTCGATATCATGTTATTGTTTCTCTAATTTACCTAATTTCACTTTTAGTTCAGACATTTTTATATACTAGAAAAGTCAGCCAGCACTAAGTTTTACACTTCTTTAGCCTTTATATTGGTTATACTTTAACCTCTAACTAAAAATGACAGTCTCAAATCATTTATTTCAACGACTTACACAAGCCTTGATTAATATGTATATTAAAGATTTAACAAACTAATGTCTAGATACCTTTTAAACTACATCATCTAATGTGACCAGATCGACCTTGCACAATCACTGCTGAAGTTGAGTCAGTCAGACAATGAAATTGTGCAATGGACGGGTCACGTCTTAGATGTCTTAATCCGTGCCTTGAATGAATTGAATAAAAAACACTTTCTACATGCATAAGTAGCAGTTTACATGAGTTGTTTAAAGTCACAAAATAAGACTACACGACAGTATTAACAATAGTCTCGAGCGGGCACAATAAACACCTCTACTTCAGATGTACGTGCAGAAACAAACCAAGATTTTAGTATTCAACGACTGGACTTATTTCGAAAGCTCAAAGAATAAAGACACATTGCACGTTTATACATAATAGCCGTCTGCCATATTACATTTCACGTTGGCAGGATCACGTTGGCCTTTTATTCAAACAAGTTGTCTTGAAGCAAGTGACACCAAACATCTAGTTACAAAAGTTAAAATTAAATAAGAACAGATAAATAAGTCTTTTGCTTTGCATTAAGTTGTGAAATAGAGTGATAAAATAATTTGAAAACACCGTTATAGATACTTGAAACGTAAAAGAAAAATATAGAAAACAGTAACTTTCACCGTAATTATTGGTTGTAATCATTTGCTGACGATTTCATTATAATTGTAAAACGGAAGTTAAAGTTTCTCTAGATAGTCGAGTCATTACTTGGCACCATTTGAACTGCATCATCGGATGGTGCGACATTATTTTACATCGCGTTCAATTCAGCATGCATCTGCCTTGTGGTTAATTATTATCATGGTTTATTGTCTATACTAATACTATAAAAAAGGTCATTTTCTGAATTTGGATGTTTGGGGTAATCTCCGTTACTACTGATCCGATTTCAAAATTCTCCGATTCCGATTTTAGCTCTCAAACATTTCTGAAAGTAATTTGCACTATAACTAAGGTTACAATATAATTTACATTATGAAAGTTCTCAGTAATTTTGCAAGATGTCGATGGTGCGTAAAATTCAATCCGTATTAAGTCAGCAAGGTTGCCTAATCCCTCTCGTAATTATTTGATCCCGTACTCAAGTGTCTGTAAGACAGATTCTGCAAGGCTCACACCATCATATTTAAATCTCTTTTTTTATTTAGTTTTCAACATTTTTAAAATAGCCCTTAGCATACGCTGCTTAACTTCGTGTCTCAATATTCTCATAATCGTCCATTAATGTAATAGAAAATTGTTTAAAAAAAACATTATTTTAGTTTCGCCGACCCAAATAATGGATACCATGGCTTTGTTATTTATTTGATAAAGCTGAGCGCTTCATAAAGTAGTATATCAGATGATCGAGGAAGTATCAAATATTTGTTTGAAATATTTATACTGGATTTGGTTTGATATATATATATATATATATATATATATTATCATCAACCTCTTTTCTAAGGAGAGGCTTATGTCCAGCAGTGGACTATTAAAGGCTGTTGATGATGATGATGATGATATATATCAAACATATATACACGAAATTGGGCGCTGAAACAATCAGTGCAACATGCTAATTCACGTAGGAATAAGATTTATGATTTTTCGTTTCGGTGGTAGCACATAAATCTGTGTATATTTTTATTATGAATAAATGCATACAACATTAAAATAGTATTATGTTTTCATAGATTTTTCAACAATAACCTACAATATTTATAGTTGTCGTACGTATAAACGGTAAAATACCGCACAATCTGGTTTATCTGCTATATATATCGTTTGCTCTGAACTCCTAACATATTATGATATTTACAAAATGTATACTTATTTTTTTTATGACTTGGTTCAACGAGCATGCGGGTCACCAGTCTCTATTGTATTAAGTTCTTAACTAGCCACGTCATTGTTCGTGTAAGTCGCTATTTAACAGCAAAAATACATTTTTATAAACCTAGACACGTTTTATTCGTATACTATAAATCACATGTAATACTCATACAAATGTATAATTTAGTTAAGAGGAAAAACTTTTTCGAGTATGTATGTATCTATTTTTTTATTATAAGTGACAACGTCTTATAAATTGGTTTG